GCGCCGGGCGGAGCCAGCCCGGCCTCAGGTGAGTCCCGCTCCCCCGCCTGCTCCTCCCTCCATCCCTCCCTCCCGGGCCGTGCGAGCGCCTGGAGCAGCTGTTTCCATTGCCCCGAGAGGCTCCCGAGGGCCGAGCCGGGCACTGCAGCCCCCGCGGCCTGGGGTGTAGTTGGGGTCGTGTAATGCCTCAGCAGAACAGAGCTCACCCAGCGCACAGGGTTCAGAGCAGTTAGTATTTCCTGCTCGTGTTAGCTGAACAAATGGAAACGCAAGCATAACAAGGTGGATACGTGGCGAACTTACTAGATTTTTTGTGGCTCTGCAGCCAGTTCTGGCTTGGACAGTATTGGCATCGTTATCCCACTGCATTTTTGTCCAAGCGTTTCGAACATTAGGACAAGCAACTGCTCCTGCATCTCATCTGTCTGTCTGGACCCATTCTGATGGAAAAGATTCCAGAATCCTGCACATTTCAAAACGGCCTGAATGCTGCTCCTTTGGCTCCTGTGAGCTCAGGAGAAGTACTGTAGGAACCAGAGTGAATTTCTGATCCTTCTGTGATCTGAAATTTGCAAGTGTAGTTTTTATTACTTGGTGTTTAGCAGTTCTTTTAATGTAACACGAGTATGTAGTCGACTTGCATGTATCTCTAATTTTGTATTGTCACTGCAAGGCCTCAGCATCTGTCTGGGTTGGAGATCGTTCGAGATCTGTGTGATGGGAACCTGAATGGTGGAGAAATTGGCTCAACAGAAATAACCTTCACTCCTGGGAAGATCAAAGGTGGAACCCTTGTAGCAGATACGAAAACAGCAGGGTATGTCTTTGTGCATGGCTTTTGGGAACTTTAAAGTTATGACAGAAAACATTGTGATAACTTTAAAATTACCACAAAGGAGTGAGGGGAAAAAAAGAACATTTATACCTGGATAATGACTCAGAATTTCTGCTGCCTGAGCCAGAGATATGTGACCTAGGAACCTGTAGTGTAGGCAGGATATGTATGAATAAAGTACATGCAAGTCTAATAGTTGTAAACTTATAATTGATATAAAAGCTGAACACTTGATTTATGTTAACCAAAACCAGCTGCCCATGCTGGAAAGTCATTTGCCTTTGATAGGTAATGATTCTATGGATTTCTGTGGATTGTGATTGTATGACATGTGAATACCTTGTCATTCTTTTAGGAGTGTGTGTCTCCTGATGCAGGTAGCAATGCCCTGTGTGCTGTTTGCTGCTTCCCCATCAGAGCTTCATTTAAAAGGTGGGACTAATGCTGAGATGGCTCCTCAGATAGACTACACAGTCATGGTAGGGGAAAATTCCTTTGGCTTGGTGCATTTTTCATGAATATATGTGAAATGTAACTGCTGTTTACTTCTGTTGCTCTTACTGCAGGTGTATTTGTGATCATGGAATTAGGCACAGGAATATAACACTATTAATGTACTGTGTGTAGAGAGCAACCAGTGTTTCATGGAATTTCCTGGAACAGCAAATAGTTTGTTGGGTTTTAATCACTAAGGAAAGTTTCACTTAAAATATATTAATTCTAGAAGTGCTGTGAATTGTTGAATTTCTCTTCCTTTTTCCATAAGAAAATCCTTTTACACAAAGTGACATTCAGAACGAAGCATGAGGAATGTCAAATAAGCTGTATGGATGAGACTGGCTGTGTTTGTTTTTAAATAACGTAACTGACATTTTTGTGTTGAGCTCTGTGTTTTCATATGTGTTTGTTTTCCAGGTTTTCAAGCCAATAGTTGAAAAGTTCAATTTCACATTCAATTGTGACATAAAAAAGAGGTGAGTTATGTGAAGGGAGACCTTACTGAGCCCATGCATCAGCACAGAGGCACACACACAAAGTGCTCTCAATCAAACTGAGGGATGAGTTTATAATACACAAACTAATCTGCATTAGCTGCCCCTGTGTGTACTATCACCACATGATGAATGTGATGTGGTTCTTTCCTGGCTTGTTTTTTTTCATTGCTGACTATACAGCTGCTGTGGAATGCTTCTGTGGGAAACATTTCTATCCCTGAGGGAAGCACATGCTGAACAGACAGTACATTACTGAGCTTTTCCTGAGGTGCCAGTTAGGTCAGTGTTAGGTAGTTAATGTGTGTTACAAAGTAAGACTGTTAAGAATCTAATTCTGGTATAAAGGTTTCTAAGGCACACATGAAGAAAATTCATATGTACAGTAATGGAGAACATAAAAATGTATAATGAATATATGAAGAGCTTTCTGGCCCTTTTCTGGGTTTCCTTGTGATCTTTGCATTTAATTGTGTCTGATGACTGTTTCTAAATAGGGGCTACTATCCTCAGGGAGGTGGTGAAGTTGTAGTCCAGATGTCTCCAGTCAAAGAGTTGAGCCCAATAAACTTAACAGAACGTGGCACAGTGACAAAGATATATGGAAGAGCATTTGTTGCTGGAGCACTGCCTATCAAAGTAAGTGCTGCTGATAGCTGTGCTGGTATCTGACTTCATATGTATCTATGTAAAATGGTATGTAATCTGCTTCACATTCCTCTACTGTTCCTGTATTCTGCAGCCTTTCCCACACAAACTAAGTAGCCTTATTAAATGTTTTCAAGTTTTTCAGGCTGCAGAATAGTATATTGGACATTTTTAAAACACATTTATAGCATAGCAATACATTCAAAAGTCTTTAGCATGTATTGGTATTGAGAGGTATCTTATATCTGATTTAAGTACTGTTCATATTTATGTGTATTATTTTAAATCTGAAATCTTGGCCTTGTTCCCAGATTTATCAGTAATAGGCAGAGGTCAGACTACATAAAATTTTTCAAACATTGCTAAGGGCATTAGAATGAGTTAAGAGTAGGTTTAGCCAAAAATAAAATGGAGAGAAATTTGTTCCTTTATACCTCCTTCTGTCTACTTTTCCTGTCCTGAATGATGGAATCTCCTTAAGGTTCCTTGTCACACACAGGCTAGGAGTCAGTAGAGGAAGAAAGAGGAGAAACAGAGTTAGTTATGAGGAGATGTGGACTGCTGGTTTTGATCTTAAAATCTCCAGACCTATGAATATTATTATTAGATCACAAGCATGGGATAAGCTTCATCTGTCCCCATTTGCCATTTCAAATTATTCTTTTATGTATTATTTATGGGGTGGGGTTTTTGCAGTTAGGTTTGGTTTGTTTTTTCAGAATCTAATGTTTTGAGATAATCAAGACTAAAGTCAAATCTCCCTATGAATGAAGAAAAGTTCTTGAGTTTCTATTGATATTGAAGTTTCTGCACACATCTCTATAATTGTCATTTGTACAACATTTAATATTACCCTAATTTTATAGGAAAATTCTCAGAAAACATATGTTCAGTGCTTGCTTGTAGGGGTTGTACAACAATCTTTTGTTTTCTAGTTAATAAAGTAGCCACTTTATTCAGGGATTCACTGTAATATTTAGACTTACAAGGAAAAAAGTATTGCTAGAGTTACATAATTTAATTACTGGTTTTGTGTCTTGTTAGCTGGCAAAAGACATGTCATCAGCAGCAGTGAGATGCATCAGAAAAGAAATCAGAGATCTTTACATTAGCATTCAGCCTGTTCGAGAACCTGACGATCAAGCTGTTGGGACTGGAAGTGGAATAATGTAAGAGGAGTCCAAACTTTCTATTGATACCTGTAATCTTGCTGGTTGATTAGCTAGATCTTGGTTATATATCTGACAAAGTGTGATGTGAGCAATTTTGTTCTTAATTCTGATTCTGCTTTTTCTGCTTAGCATTGTTGCAGAGACGTCTACAGGTTGTCTGTTAGCTGGGTCATCACTTGGCAAGAGAGGTAAGAATTCCAATAATTCTTTGAGATTTAATTGAATATACTATTAACAAACAGGAATCTGAAGTATCATCTGTTTAAAGGTCTGATGCATGGAGTGTTGCATTTTAAAATGGATGTTGTTTAGTAATAAAGGACAGCAAAAATGAGCAGATTTAAAACATAAGGAATGGAAATTTACAAAAACTACAAAACTACTAACCATTTATCAGAATGGAATGTTAATGATCACAGAGCTGAAAATGTTTCTGGACTTAAGGAACATACCGAGATTAACATGAAGTGATTATGGTTTTAAATTATTTGAATCAAATGTTCTGACTAAATGGAGCTACTTTATTCCACTGCTTAGGAAGTATAAACTGTATGTCATCATAAGATGGGAAGGAGTTTATAAGCAGACATTTGAGGCAAGAGCATGAAAATAAGGTTTCAAAATTTCTTGATTTTTTTTTTTTCTCCTTCTATATTTTTTAAATGTTTAAGTAGTTGTCAGCTTCCTAATATTCTGGATTTCTCTGTTAGGAAAAAGTTCTGACAAGGTTGGCATTGAAGCAGCTGAGATGCTCCTTAAGAATCTTAAACATGGTGGAACTGTGGATGATTCTCTGCAAGATCAAGTAAGGCTCCTGTATGTGTTTATGTGAAGTAGCAAGAACAGGCATGTATGTATTATTTGTAAAGAATGTAAATCTGAACAGGGAAAGAACGAGATGCTAAATAGAAGTCTTAGAGATGTGTGGTCACCACGTCACTAGGATTAGCAAATAATATACAGTTCTCAGGAACCACAAATGCTCCTGGCTTTGCACCAACACCCTTAGATTTTCCCTTCCTGAAACTCTCGGTAAGTATGGAAGAAAGAGGCAGGAATTTGCTTCTATTTAGCGTTGCTTGTAGTGGAGTGAAAATAGCTCCCTGGTTAGATATAAAGGCTGATACTAAGTGAAGTCATTAGAGAACAGAGTATCTAGGAGGTGCTCCTGTTTGTTTTGCTCACCTGATTTCCTTTGAGAATGAAGGTGCTCCACTGTCTTCTCTTGGGCTGGTTTAGAGAGGATGATGTTACCTCTCAGCCGTAAACCCCTGGCCACACATTGCTATTATGTAGTATAATAGGAATTATTTAGGTCTTGGACTCCCCTTACTGTTGTCAAAGCATGCACAGTACAAGTGGTGGGAACAAGCCATAGGTAGATTCGGTGTGTATGGGAATTGCTCAGAGTCATGTCATACCTTACAGAGCACTTGTGGTGGTGATGTTTGTAAATCATATCACATGTTTATAAATACCTGTCTGGTGAATATATGATCAGGAAGTGTTAGAATTAAAAAACTTCTTCCTGAGTTTTTCCTCTACATATAGGTAATCTACTAATCTAGAGTCTGACTATGGGGAATTTTGGGGCAAGAGAGTGTGGGAGAGCAAAGTTAAATATAGCAACAGGACTTCAGGGGAAAACTCCACTGTGGAAGAGTAGTGACCCTTCTGCAATAGGTATTACACTAGTAATTTACAAGCTCCTTGAGACTTGGATCCCTCTTAAAACTCAGTGTCATGAACTTTTATGAAACTTGGCGGATCACAGACATTTTGCATGTTTTTCTTGTTTTTAGTCAGTAACTTCCTAAGATCTGAAGAATACTTAATAATTACCTTTCCCTCCCTTTCAGCTGATCATTTTTATGGCATTGGCAAAAGGAGTGTCTAGAGTGAAAAGTGGACCAATTACACTTCATACTCAAACAGCTATACATTTTGCAGAGCAGCTAACAAAGGTGAGTCCAAAAGTTCAGGAAATTTTACCTATTGATTGTCACTCAGTAACTAACCAATGTACAGTTCAGTAGGCATTGTCATCTGAGCTTGGTCTTGGAAGACATGATTGATAAAGTAATTGCTACAGTATTTACATGGGAGTTGTCCTGCAGAAAGTGAATTTACTTTAGGGTTAAATGCTTTTAGAATGCTTAGATATTTTACCACCTTTATTTAAATGGTTTTGTAAGTAAATTAGTCAAAGCTGTAATATACATAAACACATGACAATAGGATTATTTGGCATGAGGTGCTGAATATTTAGACTTACGTATGTGGTAACTTAATTAGTGATAATTTTGTTTTAGGTCAAATTTACTGTGACAAAATCAGAAGATGAAGATCCCAGTAATGATACCTACATCATTGAGTGCCAAGGAATGGGGATGGTAAACCCAAACTTATAGGGTTTAAAAAATAAAAGGCAGCAAGCTGATAAAAACAACACTCAACGTACCTCAGTGATATATTGCACTACATTTCAACGGATGTATAATCTGTGTGTGAACAGGAGAAACCTTCTGTCACATCTCAGTGATTTGATTTCAAGGAGGATGTCAGGCTTTTCCTTGGTGTGGTGAGAATCTGTCATGTGAAAAATAAAAACTTGACTTTTTTTTGTACTATTAGCAGCAAAATGAGTAGCAGCAGAACAGCAAATAGAATATATTGGTTGTATGTGAAAGCTTCAGTTAGAAGCTTTGAAAATTCAACTTCGCCAAAGTAGAAAATAACTATTTTAGCTTTGATATTTCTTTCCCTTTTGAAAAATGCAAGTTTAATTCTTTGGAAGCCTTTATGTTCTGAGGTATATGGAATGAAGTGCACTACCAAATCTGTATTGCTGTTCTTCCTTAGCCATTTTGCTTAAATTGTGAGGAAATAATAAAGCACTATCACCCTATGAAAGGCTGTATTGATACGTGCTGTCATTTCAGCAGGTGGTGTGAGGGGAAGGTGGATACAAAATAACTTTGCAGCAGTATAATTTCTTTCTCTCCCTACAGAAAGAAGATTCAATGCATAGAATAATCTTCTTTTAAATCTTCTCCTTTCATCTATTTTAAAAACCTTCTCAGGCAATCTAAAACAATGTACCACATTATGTCCCAGACACCAAGAATCAGCTTTGTGATCTGATTGTATTTTTTAGCTACAGTTGTCCTTCTTAGCATACTGAGTCTACATTTTTCACTGAGGTGGAGGGTTGTTCATTTTAAGGGGAGTGCTTCATTTCAGCTGAGATTAGGGAGCTGTTGAACACACATACAGACACAGATACATGTGTATGGGCACAGAGCACTGCATATACACACTGTGTATATATATGTATATATATGTGTATATATGTATCTCTGTGTATATATATGTGTGTATATATATGT